ACTCTGGTTCAGGTGAAGTCGCATTTAAGCCGCGTGGTAGCACTGAAGCAAGATGCTCCGTATTGGGCCTGTAGCGGGAACCGAGAAGCTGACAGACTTGCACGTCTCGGAGCTGAGCATCAAGCCAATCATCTTATGTCAAAGCACGGTATGAACTCGTAGCTGAGCGAGTGTTGCAGACGGGATGGCTGATGGTTTGGGCGCTCGACGGTTTAGCTTCTAAGTTTCCAGATGGAACCAGGGTGAAGCGGGTGGGACGTAATAACCCATCAGGACTCGAAGTGATACCTGATCCCAAGGGCCACCAGTTAACCCCGACAGGTCTTCAGACCCCCCAATAAGTGGTAACTTATTATCTCGGCGGCCTTGTTGAAGAACTGGGATCCAAGCAATAGGGTGGGGTAACGAATTATTTTTCTTTTCGGCGGTTAACAGGACTGTCCTCCTCCTCCTCCTCCTCCTCCTCCTCCTCAGGAATGACACGAAGAGGAGGAGGAGGAGGAGGAGGTTTTAGGACCAGTCCTACTCACCGCCGCGAGAGATGGTGGGGGACGGAAACCAAGAAGACCTTGCGCGCTTCGCGAGCGCAGGCAAAGAGTCTTCTCCGTGCTCGGTGTGGGGACGAGGGGGGAGCGGAGACTTTCAATCTGCTCAGCTCCCTGTCGCGGTCTCCGCCCCGCCAGCACCTCCCACCCTTCGCGCAGGCTGTGGGCCGGGGCAGGGCGGGCGGCGTGGTGCTCTCTCTGCGGGGCCTTCGGCTCGGAGCGCTCCGGGCACCTCCGAGAGCAGCGACGCCAGGGGCCGCGAAGCAGGGGCGCCGCTCAGCCTTTGCTGAAGGGGCCCAGGGACACACAAATAAATACACACAAATACTGGATTCCCCATCTTTTCCCATATTTTCTGGGTTCTTGTCTTCCCCCCCACTTCCCATATTTTCCAATATTTTCCTGGGAGTCGACGATTACTTGTGTCTGTGTGTTTTTTCCCTCCTGATGCTTGTGGCTGCATTTTGTGCAGGCCGTGGCCGTGCTCTCTTCGCTGGATGTCGCTGGAGGGCAAGGGGCATGGGGGTGGCAGGGGGGACTCGGCCACGCGGGCCGACGATCTGCCAAACAGGAGCGCGATAGCTCTGGCCTGTGCCCTTCCACCCCCCGGGGGGATGGAAGACGGAGAGGAGGTGGGGGTGAGGGAGGGGGTGGGGGCAAGCTAGGTGCGCTCGCGTCATGTCCGACATCCTACCCCTCCCTCCCATCCCTTACCATGGCGTAGATCCCCTCTCTACTCGCACAGTCGGATGTCGAGCAGGGCAATGATCCCGAACGGGTACGCGATGCATTGTAGAGCACGGCATGGCATGGCGTAGAAGAGCACCGCAAAGCGTAGCATCAACCTAGCATTGCATTGCATGCCGTGGCATGGCACGGGAAATGACGCCAGCGCTGCAGCGGGAGCACGATTCGGAACGAGCGGAAGCGCGGAAATGAGGCCAGCGCTGCAGCGGGAGCACGATTCGGAACGAGCGGAAGCACGGAAATGAGGCCAGCGCTGCAGCGGGAGCACGATTCGGAACGAGCGGGGCCCGAAAATGAGGCTGGCGCCTCAGCGAGAACAGCATTTTGGGAACACATGCAAGCGAAGACCCAACTCCGGGGAATCCTGTGTGTAAAAAAACAGTACGCGGGGAGGGGCTAATACTTTCAAACCGTCATCAGGGGAAGAGGGAGAGTAGTATTCATATTGAGTAATTGTGGATGTGAGGAGGCGGATGGGGTAGGGGAGGGGCAGAGAGTCCGAGAGTGGGGGCGCATGGGGGTAGGGGGTGGCAGAGAGGCGGGGGGGAAGTCATGGCGGAGGAAGGAAGGGGAGGGGAGGTGCGCCCGGGAGGGGCGAGAGACGTGGCCGGGGATACGATATGAGAGGCGTGCGGCATGCCACCTCCTCCCCTTCCCCCTCCCCCCGTCCTCCTCCTTCCTTTCCCCCTCCTCTCCTCCTTCCTTTCCCCCTCCTCCTCTTTCTCCTCCCCTCCTCCTCCTTCTCCTCCACCTCCTCCCCCCTCCTCCTTCACAAGTGCCCGGTCTGACTGCGACCCCCCTTCTCCTGGCAATTTGTCTCGCATGTTACGTTCACATGCTGGATTTCAACCACCGGTGCTGTAGATGTGTTTGTGTCTGTGCTCCGATCGGGACGTTACGGGGGCCTTCGACAACGGTGCTCCCGCTGCAGCGTTGATCACACGTGAGGATCGGTTCGCTGCTCCCGTGGTTCAAAACAACACTCTCACCCCAGTGCGCGTTGCATTTCTGGATCTAAAACCGTTCCTTGTTGTCGCCGCGCCCTTCATTTCCCCTCCTCCGCCTTTCGCTACTCTTCCTGCTCCTCCCTCTGCTCCTGCTTATGTTCTTGCTCATCCTTCTTGATGCTACCCCTCCTCATCCTCCGTCTCCTACTCATCCGTCTCTTGCTCGCCCATACCATCCTTTGTGCTAGCCCAAATGTCTGATTGCGTAACCGATCGTGCAATTCCTGTGAATTGCCAGATGGGGTATACATGTCCCAAGGCCATTTCAGTCGACGGATCGAGAACTATTCAACGCAATGGGAAGGGGTACGACTGCCAGACGTGGTACGAGCACGCCCAGCTTGCCCTTCCCACTCCCCACTCCCTCATCCCTCCCTCCTCCTCCTCCTCCTCCTCCTCCTCTTCCTCCTCACCATCAACATCATCATCAGCATAATCATCATCAGCAGCAGCAGCAGCATCTCCATCTCCATCTCCATCATCAGCAGCATCAACAGCATCATCATCACCATCATCATCAACGCCATCATCATCAGCATCATCACCAGCATCATGATCATTTTATCCTTATCAGCATCATCAGCACCACCACCATCATCATCATCGTCATCGTCATCCACCTTATCTTCCTCCTCCCACTTATCGTATTCCCTCTCCGTTTCCTCCTCTTCCTCCTCGCCCTCTCTGATCCCTCGTGCCCCCTCCTCCTCTTCCTGCCTTCCGCCTCCTCCCTCTCCGCCGCCGCTCCTCCCCTCTCCCGAAGCTGAAAAATTGACAGCAGCTTCACAGATGGAGGGCGGGCCACTCTCAAAGTGTGGCTCTCGCCTTAGCGCCGCACGCATTCGTTCTAACAGTTACAGGAGTTTCGCAGGTTGAGGGCGGGTGGCCTTCAAAGTGTGGTCCTCGCCTGAGCGCCACGTGCATTCGTTTCCAACAGTTGCCAGAGTTTCGCGAATTGAGGGCGGGTGGTGTTCAAAATGCGGCTCTCGCCTTAGCGCTGCGAACACTCGGTTCAAACGTTGCAAGAGCTTCAAGGATTGAGGGTGGTTCCTTTTCAAAATGTGGTTCTCGCCGCAGCGCCGCGTACATTCGTTTCAACGAATTGCAAGAGTTTCGCGAATTCCCATGACCGACGTACCAGAAATCGCGTTTAGAAAGGATTCGCGATTATGAGGGTGCAACAGTTACGATGATTTGCGGTGTTGAATTCGCAGGAACGGCGTTCTGGCACGACTCAGGATCGTCAAGACGCAACATTCAAATTTATCCGTGGCGTTGAGAATCCCGAGAACAATGTTTTGGCATGCTTCAGGGTCTTCAAATGGTTGTCTTCCAACGACGCAGGCCCCTCTGTGGAAATGAACCGTTGTAGGGGCCTATGTAGAGTGAGCTTGGGAGGAGGGTCTATTCCAACATCATTGGCGACTCTTGTGTTTGCACTGGTCCTCCTCCTCCTCCTCCTCCTCCTCCTCCTCCTCCTCGCCTTGGCGGACACCCTCCTCTCGCACTCTGCTCTGCCCTCTCCTCCTCTTCCCCCTGTGTTTTCTCCTTTTCCTCCTCCTCCTCCTCCTCCTCCTCCTCCTCCTCCTCCTCCTCCTCCTCCTCCTCCTCCTCCCCTTCCTGGGGCCCGTGCTCGCCCAGCTCGGGCGGTGAGAGCACCGCTCCGAGCCCGCGCGGCCCGCGCTGCGGCTCCGCCGCAGGCCCGTGACGGCAAGGCTTTCGCAGGCATCTCGGGCTGGGCGAAAGGGGGGGTAGCAAAGGGGGGGTTTGATCGGGGAGACGTAAGACCCGGGTACGGGGGACTCGGAAATCCCCGACGAGGTCGTCAAAAAAATGACGAGGCCGAGCCTGCATTTTGACGAGGCCTCCCGCTGCAGACATCCCACGAAACTCCTCCTCGTCAAAATCCGAGGCGCGGTCGTCAAAAAACCATGGCGAACCCGAGTCCCGGCAAACCCGGGTCTTACGCTCCCCCGATTTGAGAATCAGCTCGCGTAGCTGATTTTCCCGGCGCCTCCCGGCGCCGGGAGGCGCCCACGTATCGAAGAATAGGCCCGGCGACGGGGCCGAAACCAGCTGCATGCACCAGACTTCGTAACCCCCCCTTTCCCAATCCCCCCCTTTCGCCCGACCCGAGCATCCCCGGGGCTCATCTTGGCACGTTTGTGGGCCCCGGAAACGGAAAAATGTGCCTTGAAAATGGAAACGGCAAAAAAAGGCGACCGGAAACGGCAAAACAAGGGCTCCAGGGTTGGAACCGGAGCCGGAACCGGTCAAAAAACGGCGACGGAACCGGTAAAAAAACGGCGTCGGAACCGGCGGCAAAAAAAACGGCAAAACGGAGCCGGTAAAAAACGGCCCTGTCGTTTCCAGGGCCCACTAAGCTCGGCACACCCCTCACGCGCGTCGTGGCCTCACAAGGAGCTCCACCAAAGGCTCCCGTGGCATGTTTCGCATGCGCCCCCCCCCGCCTGCTTCGGCACACCCCTCACCCGTTTGTGGCCCCACGGGGAGCTCCACCGAGAGCTCCCGCGGCAAAATTCGCATGCGTCCCCCCTCGCCCGTGTGGGCACACCCCTCACACGGCTCGTGCCCCCCCTCCGCACTGACCCGTGTCCCCTCCCTCTCGCGTCGCGCTGTCTACGAGAAGATGCGTTACGCGCAGCTGCATATGGTTGGGTCCTTCGCCAGGCTAAGTTGTTTGAGCGCACCCGGCGCCTCGGAGTACAAGGACCCGTACAGAGCTAAGACCACTAGAATTCTGCCTGTTCAGGACATGCGGCTTTGCAGTGGCCGTCTTGGCAGGGCAGCAAACGAATTCAGCGGCACCCACTGAACTTCGTACAGGGGAGAGTCTGGCCACCGTGCCAGGAGGTGTGCGCAAAGCAACCGTACACATGGAACACTGATGGTTGACGCAGATACTTCTGGCACGAAGCGGATTGCTAGTGAAAGGTGTCTCGTATTTGCCGCTGCACTTTGGCGGAGGAAGGGAAGATGGCGGAAGAACGCCTTGCTCCACAGGCCACAGGAAAACGACTCCCCTGCGCGTGGGCCAGCCAGAAAGTTTCCTGCCACGCCTGCTCCACAGATAACCGATGACAAGAACGTCCTGCTGCTCAGAGGCGGGGGGGAAAAAGCGGCGCTGTCGAAGGTATACACAAAAGTTAGCTCCTCCGAGCCCGCTGCGCCACCTACGGACTGCCAGCTCGCTTGCAGTCCGCAGGTGAGGCCGTCGGCCGGCTCGGGAGGGAGCCAGGAACTACTCGGGCCCTCCGATCCCGTCGATTTTTCTGCCGAGGCTGTGGCGCTGCTGGCGGAGTCCACGTCGGCCGTGCCGCGCGAGCATCTCTAGCAGGAGCTGCCAGCGCTCGTAGTGCTCTGGGGTTTGCTAAAAAGGAAAGGGGCCAGAAACTACTCAGGCCCTCCGATCCCGTCGGTTTTTCTGCGGAGGCTGTCGCGCTGGCGGAGTGCACATCTGCGGTGCCGCGCGAGCATCTCTAGCAGGAGCTGCCAGCGTTCGTAGTGCTCCGGGCTCTGCTACAAAATGAAGGAGACAAGACTGGACCAAACTGGGGCGGTGCGGCGGGCAGGGGAGACCCTCGCCGCAGAGAAACTGATAACATAGCGATAAGGCGTACTCCGAGGGTGAGAAAAGGATATAACGATGGGATCATAACGATAATACTTACTCAGAGAAAAGGAGGTAACGATAACAGAGAGAGAGAGCGTGATCCACCGCCGCTTTACTGTGGAAAATTGCCAACCTTTTCCTCCGGAACCCGGGGGTCTCCCCCCCCCCCTCCGAAAAAAATCCCCCCCCCCCCCGCCCTGCTGGAACCCCTCCCCCCCCCCCCCCCCCCCCGGCAAAACCCCCCCCCCTCCCCTAACCACCCCCCTCCCGCCCCCCCCCCCCGCCCCCCCTCCCCCTCGAAAACCGAGGGGGGTCACTACCGGTTCGAACCCCTCCCCCCCCCCCCCTCCCCGGATCCGGAAAACCGGGGGGGTCACTACCGGTTGGAACCCCCCCCCCCCCCCCCCCCCCCCCCCCTACTCACCGCCAGCAAACGACTCCCGGTCCCCACCACCGTCCGCATCACATCCCCCACTGGTGTTCCCAGCACCACTGTCCTCACCACCGCTGTCCCCACTGGTTCCACCACCGCCCCTACTGTCCCCACCAGTGGCCCCACCACTGTCGCACTGTCCCCGCTGTCCCCAGAACTGTTCCCACCACGGTTCCACTCTCCCCACTGTCTCCACGGCCCCAACCACTGCCCGACTATCCCCACTGTCCCCACTGTCCCACTGACTCCTCCGCTGTCCCACTGAGCTGTCCCACTGTTCCCACCACTGTCCCCGCTGTCCCCACCACTGTCCCCACTGTACCTCTGTCCCATTGTCCCACCGCCGTCCTCGCCACCGCCTTCACCACTGTCCCCACCACCATTGTACCCTCCACTGTCCCACTGTTTCCACCTCATTCCCATTGTCCCCACACCACTGTCCCCACCACCACCGTCACCACCACTGTCCACTGTCCCCCCCTGTTCCCACCATTGTCCCCACCACTGTCCCCACCACTACCGTCCCCACTACTGTCCCACTCCCCACTGTTCCCACCACTGTTCCCACCACGGTTCCACTCTCCCCACTGTCTCCACGAACCCAACCACTGCCTATCCCCACTGTCCCCACTGTCCCACTGACTCCTCCGCTGTCCCACTGAGCTGTCCCACTGTTCCCACCACTGTCCCCACTGTCCCCACCATTGTCTCCACTGTACCTCTGTCCCATTTTCCCACCGCCGTCCTCGCCACCGCCTTTACCACTGTCCCCACAACCATTGTACCTTCCACTATCCCACTGTTTCCACCTCATTCCCACTGTCCTCACCACCACTGTCCCCACCACCACCGTCCCCACCACTGTCCACTGTCCCCCCTGTTCCCACCATTGTCCCCACCACTGTCCCCACCACTGCCGTCCCCACCACTGTCCCACTGTCCCCCCACTGTCCCCACCACTGTCCCGCTGTCCCCTCACCACTGTCCCCACCAACACCGTCCCCACCACTGTCCGCACCCCCACTCGGTTTTCGAGGGGGGGGGGGGTTCGAACCGGTAGTGACCCCCCCCCCTTTTCATGATGAACTGGGGGGGGGGGGGGAGGGGTTCGAACCGGTAGTGACCCCCCCCGGTTTTCCGGAGGGGGGGGGGGGGAGGGGTTCGAACCGGTAGTGACCCCCCCCGGTTTTCCGCCAGCAGCGGTAGAACACGCTCTTTCCGATAACACGAAACATATCATAACGATGACATGATAATCTTCCGACCTAAACTAAAGCCATTATCATCGTCGCCCTCGTGACTACGGGGGCTCTCTTCCCGTCTGGTATCTGCTGGTCCCTGCCGACGCCTGCAAGCTGGATTGAGGGTGGTCGCCTCGGATTGCAGAGGACGCTCGACAAAGGAACGAGGCTCCCGCCCGAGGCTTTCTCAATGTGCAAGCTCCCAGGTGCCAGCAAGTCTGCGCTCTTGCATGGAATCCCGATGGGCGCCTCGGATTCATAACATGAAGCGGGGAGGCCCTATGGAGGGGCTCCCGCTCGAGACGTCCTCGGGATCCACTCGCTGTCACAGGCGAGCGCCCGAGACCTCCTCCCAGCTTGCTCAGGAACGAGGCTCCCGCTCGAGACTTTCTCAGTAGTCCAACTCCCAGGTGTCAGCACATCTGCGCTCCTGCATAGAATCCCGAGGGAGCGTCTCGGCTTCACGGCAGGAAGCGGGGAGGCCATGTGGAGGGGCTCCCGCTCGAGACGTCCTCGGGATCCTCTGGAGTCCCGAAACGATGCGGTGACAGACCGTGCGGTGACCTCGAAATCCCCCAAGACCTCACGGCACGGTCCGTCACCGCACGGTCTTGGGACCCCAGAGGCCCCTGTCGCCCGAGACATCCTCGGATAACGACCCGAGTCCCAAAACCGTGCGGTGACCCCGAATCCCCACCGACTCACAGCACGGTGTGGTCACCACCCTGTTTGGGGGCCCCCCAGATCCACTCACAAGCGAGCGCACGAGACCTCCTCCCAAACTTGTTCAAGAACGGGGCTCCCGCTCGAGGCGTCCTCGGGGGAGGCCGGCTCCCAGCATCGCGATGACCGCCCCATACGGAGGGGGAGGGGGAGGGGGAGGAGGAGGAGGAGGGAGGAGGAGGGAGGAGGAGGAGGGAGGAGGGAGGAGGCTCGAGACGTCACCGCGATCCACTCACAGAGGAGACTCCCGCTCGAGACAGCTTCTCCGTGTGCTCGGGGCCGAGGCTCCCGCTGTCGACTTCCTCTGGATCCGAAGCTCCGAGGTGTCACCGGACCTGTGCTTTTGCGGGGTGTTCCTGTGGCCGCCTCAGAGTCGAGCACGGGGAGGCGGGGAAACACCCTGAGGGAGGAGCTCCCGCTCGAGACGCCCTCGCGATTCACTCACAAACGAGTAAACGTCCAGGGCATCCTCTTAGGCCGAGTTAAAAAAGCTCCCGCTCGAGACGTCTTCGGGATTCAGGCTCCCAGGTGTCATCAGACATGTGGCTTTACAGGGAATCCCGATGAGCGCCTCCGATTGAAGCGGGGGACCCGTAGAAGGGGGCTCCCGCTCGAGACTTCCTCGCGATTCACTCACAGACGAGGCTCCCGCTCGAGACTTAGACTATGTTTTTACATCGTATTCCGATGGCAGCCTCGGATTCGAACATTGAGGTGTGGACCCCATAAGGAGGGGCTTCCGCTCACAAAGTCCTCGCCGTTCCCTCACAGACGAGTGAGCGCCCGAGACATCCTCTCAGTTTGCTCAGGAAACAAGCTCCCGCTCGAGGCTTCCTCTGGATTCAAGCTCCCAAATGTCAGCGGACTTCTGTTTTTCAACCTCGAGCTCACAAGAACGAGGCTCCCGCTCGAGACGTCTTCGGGATTCAGCTCCCGGATGTCACCAACACTCTGTTTTTACAGTGTATTCCGATGGCCGCCTCGGATTACCTATGTGAGGTGGTGACCCCATCGGAAGGGGGCTCCCGCTCGAGACGTCCTCGCGACTCACTCACAGACGAGGCTCCCGCTCTAGAAATGCTAAACATGAGCGCGCGAGTTGTGCGAGTGGTTGAGTGTGTGAGAGTCAGCGTGTAGGAGGAGAGGGAGAGAGGATGAGGTGTTCTTTCCTGCGCGGGAGGGAGTGCCCAGAAAAATTACCCTGGCGAAGGACCCAACCATATGCAGCTGCGAGTACCGCAAGGATACCAGTGTCAAGCTCCCCCCGACCTTCGGTGGAGATCCCTATGGGGCCACGAAGCGTGTGAGGGGTGTGCCGAAATGGGTGTTGGGGAGTGCCGAAATGGGTGGTGGGGAGGCATGCGAACCCTGCCACTGGGGCCTTCGGTGGAGCTCCCTATGGGGCCACGAAACGTGTGAGGGGTGTGCCGAAATGGGTGGTGGGGAGGCATGCGAACGCAGCCACTGGGGCCTTCGGTGGAGCTCCCTATGGGGCCACGAAACGTGTGAGGGGTGTGCCGAAATGGGTGGTGGGGAGGCATGCGAACCCTGCCACTGGGGCCTTCGGTGGAGCTCCCTATGGGGCCACGAAACGTGTGAGGGGTGTGCCGAAATGGGTGGTGGGGAGGCATGCGAACGCAGCCACTGGGGCCTTCGGTGGAGCTCCCTATGGGGCCACGAAACGTGTGAGGGGTGTGCCGAAATGGGTGGTGGGGAGGCATGCGAACCCTGCCACTGGGGCCTTCGGTGGAGCTCCCTATGGGGCCACGAAACGTGTGAGGGGTGTGGGGTGGTGGGGAGGCATGCGAAGCCACTGGGGCCTTCGGTGGAGCTCCCTATGGGGCCACGAAACGTGTGAGGGGTGTGCCGAAATGGGGGTGGAACCGCATGCGGGCGCAGCCACTTGGGCCTTCGGTGGAGCTCCCTATGGGGCCACGAAACGTGTGAGGGGTGTGCCAGAATGGGGGGTGGAACCGCATGCGGGCGCAGCCACTGGGCCTTCGGTGGAGCTCCCTATGGGGCCACGAAACGTGTGAGGGGTGTGCCAGAATGGGGGGTGGAACCGCATGCGGGCGCAGCCACTGGGGCCTTCGGTGGAGCTCCCTATGGGGCCACGAAACGTGTGAGGGGTGTGCCGAAATGGGTGGTGGGGAGGCATGCGAACGCAGCCACTGGGGCCTTCGGTGGAGCTCCCTATGGGGCCACGAAGCGTGTGAGGGGTGTGCCGAAAGGGTGGTGGGAGGCATGCGAACGCAGCCACTGGGGCCTTCGGTGGAGCTCCCTATGGGGCCACGAAACGTGTGAGGGGTGTGCCGAAATGGGGTGGGGAGCATGCGGACGCAGCACTGGGGCCTTCGGTGGAGCCCCTGTGGGGCCACGAAACGTGCCTTCGGTGGAGCTCCCTATGGGGCCACGAAACGTGTGAGGGGTGTGCCGGAATGGGTGGTGGGGAGGCATGCGAACGCAGCCACTGGGGCCTTCGGTGGAGCTCCCTATGGGGCCACGAAGCGTGTGAGGGGTGTGCCGAAATGGGTGGTGGGGAGGCATGCGGACCCTGCCACTGGGGCCTTCGGTGGAGCTCCCTATGGGGCCACGAAACGTGTGAGGGGTGTGCCGAAATGGGTGGTGGGGAGGCATGCGAACGCAGCCACTGGGGCCTTCGGTGGAGCTCCCTATGGGGCCACGAAACGTGTGAGGGGTGTGCCGAATGGGTGGTGGGGAGGCATGCGAACGCAGCCACTGGGGCCTTCGGTGGAGCTCCCGATGGGGCCACGAAACGTGTGAGGGGTGTGCCGAAATGGGTGGTGGGGAGGCATGCGAACCATCCACTGGGGCCTTCGGTGGAGCTCCCTATGGGGCCACGAAACGTGTGAGGGGTGTGCCGACATGGGTGGTGGGGAGGCATGCGAACGCAGCCACTGGGGCCTTCGGTGGAGCTCCCTATGGGGCCACGAAACGTGTGAGGGGTGTGCCGAAATGGGTGGTGGGGAGGCATGCGAACCCTGCCACTGGGGCCTTCGGTGGAGCTCCCTATGGGGCCACGAAACGTGTGAGGGGTGTGCCGAAATGGGGGGTGGGAGGCATGCGGACCCTGCCACTGGGGCCTTCGGTGGAGCTCCCTATGGGGCCACGAAACGTGTGAGGGGTGTGCCGAAATGGGTGGTGGGGAGGCATGCGAACGCAGCCACTGGGGCCTTCGGTGGAGCTGCCTATGGGGCCACGAAACGTGTGAGGGGTGTGCCGAAATGGGTGGTGGGGAGGCATGCGAACGCAGGAGGGAGGAGGGCGAGGAGAAGGAGGAAGAAGGAACGCGGGGACCGTTTCTTCAAAACGAGGACCCAACACCACAGGATGGTTGGGAACAAGGACCCCACTTACTGCAGGAGAGCCCATAATCGAATCGATAAGTCTGACCTGCAATCGAAATGAATCGGATCGGCGAACATCGGCAGCCGAGTCGGGCAGAGTCGAATCGGCGGACATCTGCAGGCTTGCACGCCTCCACTGAGACATCGGAACCCAATTCGGAAGCCCGAGTCGAATCGAATCGGAATCGGAGGCCATCGAAATCGCATCGAACCGAATCGGCAGAATCGAAACGAGCCGTGCTGCTGTGCGGGAAGAGCAGGAGGAAGAGGAGGACGAGAAACCGTCTCGAGACTCGCCGGCGTGCCGCGAGGCACAGGCGTGGCGTGGAATGCCACGCTGTTTCCCGTGGAGCTGCCTGTGCGGAGCCGCGCCCGCGGACTCTGGCGGAGCCCCCTGGCCCCGGGGGGATCCCGCGGCCTCGTCGGCGGCGACGGCGAGGGCGAACAGCCAGGGGGCGGGCATGGCACGTATTCGCCCGGGAGCCTCGTCGAAGGCATAGATCCTCGGCGTGCCTGGCTGCATGTATTGCTCCCCCCTTGGGCCAGTCGCCCCTATCGTCGCTTCCGACCTGGGAGCTGCAACGAGGCGTGCAAATAGTGCACCTGGGCCAAGTCGGCGCTGGACAAACCTCCCTTTCGTAGACCTCCCCTTAGTGAAAAAACGGCCTGGGGCCGAGACCGACGGACCCGGACCCGCAAACATGATGTCCGCGACGCCCTCCCGCGAACCGAACACGGCCAATTCCTCAATCGACGTGTCAGGGTAGGAGGTCTGTCCAGCCCCGACCAAGAGCTTGTGTGAAGCCATGGCGCCAGGAGGCGCCTGCGGCCGCGGAGCCGAAAGCCTTTCACGGATCGCGTGTCGGAGGGCACCAACTATACACCAACACCGATCCTGGCCCAGGATCACCCTGGGCCCAGGATCGGTGTATATGCCTTCTTGCGCAAGGCAGGAGGGCGTATACACCGATCCTGGGCCCAGGGTGATCCTGGCCAGGATCGGTGTTGGTGTATAGTTGGTGCCTTCCTAGCGTGGGCAGGGAGTCTGAGCACCGAGTGCGGGAGGAGCGCCGAGCGAGCTCAGCTCACTGTGCAGCAGGCCGGCGTCCTCGGCATGCTGCCCTCGCCCTCGCAGGAGATGCCATACCGCCTGCAGAGGGCCGCGCGGCCCGAGAGGGCGCGCAGCGCGGCCTCCTGCTCGGGAGTCGTGATTGCTCCTGGACGCGCAATCCGCGCCCAGCCGAGGAGCCCACGGCCTGAGACGTTGTACTTGTATATGACCAGTATGCAGGCCAAGAACACGCTCCTGCCGAAGCCGCCCTTGCAGTGGACCAGGATGGCGCTACCACCGTCGGGATTCAGATTCATGTCCTGTGCAAAGCTGAGGAAACGCCTGACAGAACTATCGGGGGGGATGGCCCCCGTTCCGTTACGAATGGCGTCGCTGACAAAGACGTTGGCGTGCCTGATCCCGAACTTGGTCAGCAACCCCGCATCGTAGCTCCCTCCAATCTCCGCAAGCCCTCGCTCCCATGGCTGGTTCACGCGCACCACGGCCTGGATGCCCTCCTCCAAGAGGAAGTCCACGAAAGGCTTGGCCTCCGGCCACTCGCCGTTGCCATTGCCGTCCCTGGCCCAAGGGCGGTAGGCCTTGCACACCGTGTGGGTCGACGCGCCCGCCAGCTGGTCGCCGGCCCCCGGGTGCCCGAGGGGCTCGCTGACGGCGCCAAGGCTCGTCTCCTCGCTGACGGCGCCGGAGATCCCCACGTCGTTCCAGCAG